CTACAGTCTGGATCTACAGCCTGGATCTACAGCCTGGATCTACAGTCTGGATCTACAGCCTGGATCTACGGCCTGGATCTACCGCTTGGATCTACAGTCTGGATCTACAGCCTGGATCTATGGCCTGGATCTACAGCCTTCTGGATCTACGGCCTGGATCTATGGCCTGGATCTACGGCCTGGATCTACAGTCTGGATCTACAGCCTGGATCTACGGCCTGGATCTACGGCCTGAATCTACAGCCTGGATCTACAGCCTAGATGTACAGTCCTGGATCTACAGCCTGGATCTACAGTCCTGGATCTACAGCCTGGATCTACGACCTGGATCTACGGCCTGAATCCACGGCCCGGATCTACAGTCCTGGATCTATAGCCTGGATCTACAACCTGGATCTACGGCCTGGATCTACGGCCTGCATCAACGGCCTGCATCTATAACCTGGATCTACGACCTGGATCTACAGCCTGAATCTACGGCCTGGATCTACGGCCTGGATCTACAGCCTGGATCTATGGCCCTTTCCAATGTTTTCTCACTTTTTCCCCCACTGTTTTCTTTATTAGTTGTTCTTTGCCGATGATGGAGAGTCTAAAGACAGTGATGGTCCGGGACATTTATCAGCATTTATGGACCTTGCCCATCCCGCTCCCTATGGACTAATGACTCCTATGTGTTTGTTATTCTTACATTGTCTCTGTAAAGTTCTCTGAGAAAACTGCTTTTGTGATTCAGGTATATAGAAAAATTAATCTAATTGAATTGCCGTCCCTCAGTGTGGGTCTTCCCGAGGTTTCTCACTTCTTCTCACTGAGTTTTTAAAGTTGTTCCTTGCAGATGCAGAAGGCGCTAAGGACAGAGATGATCCAGGACACTTCACATTCAACAACATTCATGGACATTGGTCTCTGCCCCTTACGGACCAATGGCTCTATGTGTTTTTTAATCATTGCATATCTTGTATTATTCTCTAATCTGTGTTCTCCAACATAACAACTGTTGTGATTTAACCCTTCAAGGTCTAAGCTCATTTTGGGGAACTTTCCTCGCCTGGTTTTCTTTGTGTATAATTGCTCATAAAATAGTCATCTTGTGATGCAGAGTCAAGCAGTAAACTTTGTTTTTTTCAGTACAACCTGTGGATTTATAATATTCATAGTGTACAGCTGTCATATGAATTATATAAAAAATATGGAATCATGAAGACAAAGAAAAAAATGAAACGGAAATTCAATTTCACCAAAATGTTTTGAAACACACAATGAAATGCTATTGCTAACGTTTTACACTGTATAGAAATGTTATTTAGGGTCTTGGGGTTGATGGGGAAAAAAATTGAACCTGTGACTATTATAATTTTTACAAAATTCCACTACAAGTGAAAAAAACGCTGTACTCCTGATGCCCTTCCTGAAGCAGTTTGTCTATGTCTATATATTGCTTCAGTATCACAGCTGTAAGATATGTAAAACAAAAAAACTAAGAAAACAAAGAAAGAAAAACAACATCTTATATTCATATACATCATATCATTATAATGTATTTATCGATGTCAATAATAAATATATAATATAATTACATCAATAATGCGCACTCTTCAGCCCGGTGCTGGCTCTTGTGAGCGCTGCATCTGCGTCTCCTCCTATCTTTGTGTAATGCACTTTCAAGCCCAGACTCTGAACACACACATCACTCGTAGATCACGTAGATCAGTGATCAAAAGCTATATTAGCTGTGTCGGGGACGCATTTTCGTAACATTCCGCTAAAATAATGCGTCTTTTACGCATCAGTAATTGCAATCGCAGCTGTAATTTCAACTATGGGACAATACATACACACAGGAGAGTGGATCATCCTACTCTCTGACAATCTTTGGCAGTCCCTGTGTCAGCGTGTAAGCAAAATAACTTTACTGTTTTGGCTGTTTTACCTCACGGGAGACCGCTCGAAGATCCGATTGGACACCGACTTTCAAACACACGTAGAAAATCCCCCAAAAGTCACACAGACAAAACAAAACTAGCGCTGTAATGCCTGAAATGTGTACTTCACGGAGAGAAAAAAAGTAAGTCGCTACATTTTGCCGTTCATGAGAAAATTGAACATTTATAAAACATGTGCGCAGGCGTCAGATCCGACGCTCTAGACCCCAGAGGGTTAAGGCTATATCCACACGAAGACAAAACGCTTATAATTTCAGAAACTTTTTCTGTAAACACGGAGTTAGCTCAGTAAATGTGTGCGTCCATATGAATGTAGTCAATACGCCTGAAAACGCTGTGAAACTATGCCAGACCTGTTGGTGGCGCTGTGACGCAATGACGGGATCAAGCCCAAACTTCCGTGGGCATGCGCGGAATTTTGTAAACAGACAACATGGCGAGTGGGCGAGCTGGTACTACATTAGTATGGACGGACGATGAGGTTGAACTGTTGCTTCGGGTCGCACTGGATTACAAAACAACAAGCTACATTGTTGTTGTCATTATTTTCTGAGTGCGGCGCATGCGTGCTTTAACAAGAGGCGGGGCGATGACGCAAGCGTCTCAGATACATTGCGGAGAGGCAGTAACCACGGAGCGGCATATACGGAGTTTTGAAATCTTTCCACTCTGGGACCTACTTTCAAAAATGTTCAGTTACACCCCCCCAAAACGCCGGCCTCGTATGGACGATACACTGGATTGATAAAGTAGTTTTGCGTTTAGGCCTGAGCTTGACTTCGTGTGGACAGGGCCTAAGGCTGTACAAAAATACATTGAACTGATGGATTTGACCAGCGTAATTACACGTCTTCTCTTCAAAGCTGCATCTCTGCTGCCGCTCTGTAAAGAAAAACCAGGACACTCACTTAAACCTGATCCGTATTGACTTTGAAAACCTCCCATCTCGTCTGCGCCCTGGAGCCCTTTGGCGTTTGAGTGGAAACAGCTGATTTATGCTTCGGGACACTTGTGCTCTTCTGAAGCCGGAATGCTGAGAATGCCTGGACTCCCCTCCCCTCTGTCCTCCCCCTGTCCTCCCCCCTCCCACACACACACACATAGGCGCCGCTAGGGCCACAATCAGACCAGTGCTGCTGCTGTCTATGTGCCATGTGAGATCTGTGGAGTGTCGTTGGCCATGTCCGGAGCTGGAATGATGCGTAGGTACCGTCGCATTAGTCCAGATCAAGTCTCTCCATCTTGTTTTGTTAACTCGCCTTGCCCTGATCACTTCACAATCCCACACCTACCACCACTAATAAAAGCAGTAATCATCCCTTAAAGCTGGGGTACCTAACTTATTTCATTCATAAATTAAACCATTTTGCGGTCCCAATAGAAAAAGTCTTGGTACATGTTGTCCTTTGCAAATAGGGGAAGCTCAAGAAATTAGAATATTGTTCATCTATTTCTGTATTATAACCCAAAATGTGAAACAAGTATATGGTATAGACTCATAATATTATGTAATATAATGTTGATAATTATCTTTGATTGTCCATTCTCAAAATATTCTCATTTTTCTGACATTTATAGTTAGTTTTTCTTACTGTGAGCCAATTATTAACATTATTACAAAGATTATATCTCTCTGCTGCAGTGCGTCTCTCATTTACTAGTTTCACATTGTAAATTGATTTAATTCTGAGCCTCCATGACTATCCCAGGAACATTTTAGCAACTTTCTTTTGTGTTCAATAGTCCAAATATTCTGAATATATTTTTCTGCTAATATCAAATGAAATAAGTCTCTTCTCTTCATATAGACATGCACACATTTTTCGAACAATACTATTCCTTCCAAAGAAATCAGTCTGATTTGAACAGAATGGTTTTATTTTGGTGTTACAGTTTCCACAACACATGAATGCATAGTGTTACGTACGCTCTTTCAATAGTGGCAAAATGTCTGTGACCGACAAAGGGGTGCTTCGGTATCCCCCGCCCTCGAAGTCACGCAATGAAAAATCAACTTTGTGTAAAAAAAGCAACACGACTTCTAGCATAAGTTAGCTTGCATATACCGTGAACACAAGTCTATAGCATTTTTTTACAGTCAAAGGCACGATGGCTGTGTTTTTTTAACTTTAAACTCAAAAAGCACATGCATTTTTCTTTTAAATAAGCCGCTAGCATCATGGCAAACACATGTAGAAGCCAAACAAGTCCTTCTCCAAACAGCCTCACTTAGAGCAATGATATATCCAGACACCATTTTTGATTAATGTGTGAGTCATGTTGGCTCCGTCGCAGTAGGTCCATAAGATAAAATGTATTGAATCTCTATTATTACATGTGATTGTTCTAGTTTCGACCAATTATCACCAAGCGTTTCCAGACGGTATGTTCTTGATGAGGAGATGGCGTGGTTAAAGCTCAGATCAGACCATTTTACGTAATACGTCCCCTATAATTATCAAATAGTATTGATCTAATCACTGAAAAAAGCTACAGTTGACATAATACATTACTTTGTTACTTGCATAAATCCCATCATGCAATGCTCATGGGGGGAGCTGTAAAGTACTATCTAAAACCTGCAGTAAAAGTGTGAGTGTGACGAGGAAATCTACAGTGAGAAATCTCAATGGAAAACTTTAAACTAGCAGCTTTAGTGTTGTTGATGAACTAAAACTATAGAAAAACCATAGAAATGGTCGCCACCTGCAGGCTGTTTCCCAAACTACACACAATGGAAGTGATACAGGATGGGAGGAATGAAAAGTGTTTCCCTATCTGACTTTTCGAAATCAACAAAAAAGGTCCAGATTTCTTTAAGCTTTGGTTATGTTGAATTACATTTTCTCAACAGGTTTATAGAAGCTTTTATTAGCTTTTGTATAAGTTTTAATTTTGTGTGTATTAGCAAATAGTGTTATGGACTTGCACAAGTAGCAATTAAAAGTCTGTGATTTTTGATCTTTGTTAATGATAACTTCAGACACCACTCGGATTGCTTCAAGTCTCTCTCTTTCCGTATTCACTTGCAAATTCCCTTTCTCCGCTCGCAGTTCAAGGCCTGCTCTTCACTGCTGTCGGCTTGTCCATAATATTCAACACGTCATCCAAAATGGACGGCCCCAAATCCAGTTCGAGAGACAGCAGCGAGCCCGTTATCTGGCTGAGCGACTCTTGCGACGAACTCTTCTCTTTGGCGAACTCGAAGTCGAAATCGCACATGCGGCCCTCGTCCACCCCACTGTCCCGGTCCACCCAGCCCAGGTCGCACTTCGGAAGCTCCTCCTTGAAGGCGAAGCGTCCAAACCCGTCGCAGTTTCCGTTGTCGTAGATTTTGGGCTCGTCTTTGATGCTGTCGAAGCTGTCGCTGCTTGCGTCGCTGTTGAGGCTCCCGTTGGTTTTGTAGCTGCTGAACGAGGACAGCTTCTCGCTCCGGCTTGACCTGCTTGACTTGGCCTTGGATTTGGACTTGTGCTTTTTCTCCAACAGATCCAGCAAGACGTCAGGCTTTGACAGCATCTCCGTACTGGGCGAAGACGGCTCGCTTGCAAACACCTCCATCGATTGCAACAACGCATCCATCTGCAGCATTTCCACTTCCTCAACGCGATCTTGCTTCATTGTTGGACCCAAAATGTCTTCCAACGGCTCTGGTGGCATCGAATACACATGCGCAGACGTCATGGGTAAGGAAAGTGCTTGACAACCGCCGATGGTGGGCAAAGAAATTGCGTTTTTCAAAACCGGGGAGGGAGTTTCCACGTATGAAGCATCGCCGGTGCTGTTGGCTCTCGTGTATTCGCCTTGGATGCCATATTGGATTTCTTTCCCAGGCAGAAGCTCGTAGTTGCCTTGGAGAAAGGATATATCTCCAAAAGTGTCCCGCTGCCCCCCCCTTCCAATGTGAATGGTGTGGCGGAAGTCCCCGAGTGGAGGGCTAATCATATCTGGTGACAAGATGTCGCGGAGCCTGCATTTCTTGCCTTTCTTGTTGGGGGCTGGCTTAAGGTAGATGGGTGCTTTTGCAGGCATGGCTGTATCGGATAGAGATCGGATACTATGGACAGGACAGACTGAAGTGTAGAATCAGCAATGGACCGTTCCTCCAGGGAGAAGGTAGAGTTACATTCTCAATAAAAGGCCCCAGAAGTGATGGCGTCTACTGGGACATTGATCTCGTAATCGGACTCCAAGTGGCAACTGGTCTGGTCAATCGGTCAATCCTCCTGGAAGAGAAACAAGACAATGGTTAGTTTAGCTTTCTCTCTCTGTCTGCATTTCTTTTACAACAGCCTCGCGAGTAGAAATATGTATGACCAGGCCTGGGGAATTTATATACTATACTATATATTACTATCCTCATAAGGAATATATTTGTGACATATTTCCCAGAAAGTTCCATTGATGTATGTACAAATGTTCTTACTCTTTCAGTCTTTTGCACATACAACAAATCAACATCAACTACAAAAAGACAAGCCCATTATTCTGTTAGGACTCTAAAGTCTTTACATTATCATTGGAAACAATCGCGTGACTTCACCAGTCTAAGTTGTGGCTCCCCGGAGGGGAGCCGAGCCATTCGCCAGACTTCATGTTTTGAGCTATAAAAAACCAATAAATGAAATCATGTATTAGTTTTATATCATGCTGAGGGTCGTCGAGACCTTCAGATTTATAATGCACTATTCTACTATCAAACTGTTCAAGATATAATCCAAGTTTGAGCAGGTTCAAATGACAAGATTTTTATGATAAACTGGTTTTTCACAACAGCAGGCGTCTCGGAGGACTGAACAAAATAAGCATTGCAAAAATCAAATCGTTTGAACATAGGCGTTTCGACCAAACACATTGGTCACTAGGGAGCAGGACGTCCACTGTCCATAAATATAATTAAGTTTCCATAAATGTCCCAGATTATCACTGTCCTTGACCCTCATAAATCACCAAGGAACCACTCAGAAAAAACAGGGGGAAAAATGCAAGAATCTTCAGAGTGACCCATAATCTATAATCAGTCAAAATCAGAGAAGATGTCACCTATTTAATTCATTCTAGGTCACAAAAACAAATCAAAAATACTCACAACTAGAAATATAACCTGAATTTTAATATAGAGATGTGACTTTTTGGCAATGTATGGTGAAAACATTTAAACAATTAGACCGAACCCCTAAACCTTCCCCCTGTGCAAATCTCATAGTGTGTTATTTTATTGTGATGTATCCGAGCTCTTAGCAACCGATCTGACACATTAGCTGTTCGTTCACACCAGCGAGTAGAATGGTGCTGCGTCGTGACTGTATCTTAATGTTTGTGTCGATCCGAGCAACAGCGATGGGAGCGTGGGAGGGGCCCGCAGGGGGAGGGGAAGAGGGGGGGGGGGGGGACAAAGACGCCGTTATTCATCTGCACTGGGTTCATTCGAAAGCGGAAAATATGTCAAAGCTTGAGTCAAGTTATGAAAAGGTTACTGCAAAGACACATGCAGTCGCAGCTTGGTCAGGGAGACTGAACGTGATGTATAAGTCTCTAAGTTTTCCTTCTGCAGATTTGTGTTTTTTTGACTACAATGTGAAAGACGGCCGCGTTGTTTTGACCTGTGTCGGTTTTTTATACCATAGACAAGACATGAATAACCAGGATGAAGAAAGTGCCAATTCAGGATTCAGTCTAAACTAGCTTTCATTCTGCAGAGCCATGTTTGTCCCTCCTGTGCTTACTTATGACTACAGTGTGGAAAGTACGGTGTGTTTTTTAGACCTGTGTCACCGTTTTGCTCTTGTAATACGGCTTGTAACAATGTCATTATTCAAAGTATCGTCCGTCGTGTGGCTTGAGTTCTGTGTTTCAACCTCCTTCCCCTGATCCATATGCAAGAAACTGGCTTGAAAACACTTTGCTTTCATTGAGTTTAAATGATTGCGATTTGGTCGTAGTGATCGCATTGAACACGCCTCGGCAAGAAGATAAGGCGGGTTAAATACCGGGTCGTTTTGAGACAGCAGCTCATCATGGTTGTGTTAAGAACTATGGTCAATCATGGTTCTTAACACAAATGTTTTAACTCATTTCTGTTTTTTATATATGTTTAATGTACACATTTTCTGACTGATATCTGTATGTAAGTGTTTTGTTTTCACTCTTTTCTTATTCAATCATTTCTGCTATTAGGTTGACATTTTAAATCTGACAAAGGATGAAAAATAGCTTTGCGGCTGCCCCTGTCAAATAAACAAACGAATAATTAAATCAAAATTATTTCTTGTCATTTTGAGTCTATGGTGGACATGTCTGTTGTCTGCTACACAGTGGTTATGTATGTCACTTGTGATTCTCTCATTATTATATATTTAGTACATTCAAAATCTCACTCTGATCGTACTAAAACAGAAACAAGCCGTCACACTTCCAGATTTAAGTCTCTGCCTCTTCCTCACTGTAAAAAAAGCACTTTGATTTGAGCACTTTTCTCGATCGTTCCGAGGCCCTTTGTAGTCTGAGCCACTGAACTTCCTTCTCCACTTTCTTTCTTCAAGTAAAACATTCAACAAATAAATCTGTGTCCTCCGGAATATGAGGAACGCGGTGTGTTTATGTTCGGCTGCTGCGTCTGGAGGCCTCTGTGGAAGTGCTAACGCTGAGCAGCTGTGGGTTGGATCCGAACATGGACTTGGAGGAGGACACTGCTGAGACAGAAGAAAGAGGAAAACACGGCTACTGCTGAGACATGCATCATTTTAGTGAAAGATCAAGGTCAAGAGACGCCACAGCTCAGAGGGATTGCCAAGATTACTCCGAAAGCTACTGCATCAGGGACTTTCAAAGGTTTTAGACCCCAATTAGTCAAATCAAAACCATACAGATCTTTTACTTTTGATTGGAATGCACTGGAAAAAAGCCGCAAGTACCACGTGTCTCTGAAACAGTTGTTGTTTTGTGTTTTTACTACTTTTACTATCCGTGAATTTGACTTAAAAATCAGGGTTTTACAATGATCCAGAGCAAGAAAGATTGCCCGAACCAAGCAGACCACACGTGCATCCACCAGAGGAACCCTTTTTTTGGGAAAAAAAATACAGCATTCTGGATTTTACACTGAACCAGAGCAGAGAATGTGGCCAAAACCAAGCAGCTGCTGCGTAATTATACAAGAGAAACAGGCTCAGAGGAAGATGGTTATCCTGCGGTGTAGGTTTAGAGTAGATTTTGCCCTTTGTGAGATAAAAAATACTTGTTCTATACATCTATCTGTCTGTCTATGTATCTATCTGTCTAATAATGTTCTTTTCACTTGCATTTCTCCCAATATGCACCGTTTACAAAGATTTAGAATGATTTGTTTCTTGTTTTCGCCTTGACTGTTTAAGCCTCGCCTTCAGGCCAAAACAGAACAAACAGGAAGCTCGATAACGCCCTGTGTTGAATTGGATTGTGGGTAATTATTCTTGTATTTGGAGGCTGTAACTTGTAATTGTGTGGCTGACGTCCTTCTGTGTCGTGGTTGGCTGGATACAGGAAGTGACTTTTCTCCCTGAGTCTTGTCTGCAGGGCGATCAGCTGACTCATCCCTGCGCTGCCTTCATGGCCTCTTAAGGTGAAAGTTACAGAGGTGGATTTCTTTCTTAACGTTATCTAAAACCTGCAGTAAAATCACATGTTTTTAGCTCCATCCATGCTAACATCAGGAACCATTCACCCAACCTTAACTGTGTTCCTTCTTATACAAACGTTCTATGCAATTGGTCCAGGCCTTTATAAAATTGGTGTCAAAGTCATGGAGTGGATGGTCTTGGCCCCTGGATGATATTGGATTAGTATTAGAACCGGCTGCACAGAGCCATTAGAAATTATTGAATTATTAATTTATTGATTAGTGCATGGGTTTTCTCTTTGAAGGTACTTTGTTTTTCTATCCGAGCCTGTTGACACATATTTTAGCTTGAAATTACCAACAGAGAAATACAAAAATATTGGATCATTCATTCAATCATTAAATAAAATACGGTCCACTGTGTTAGGTCTTGGTTTAACAGGTTTTATGCGTCATTTTAATATGTTTTAATGAACATTGAACCAGTCCGGCCCTCGCGTCTAGGTTTTTTAGGCCTCTGATGTATTTCATTTGAATTTGAATGGTCTCTTTCTATCATCACATGGAATCTATGCGTCAAAGTTCAAGATAAGATAAGATAAGAATTCCTTTATTCGTCCCACACTGGGGAAATTTCGAAATTCGTTCAGCGAAATTCATTAGAAATTTGCGCAACCCTGCCTATAGACACACACACACACACAGTGGAGGGTTCTCTTTCACAAAGTCATGGCTTGGTGGGAAAAGGCGTTCTAGAGCTCTCAGTAGGAAATAAGTGTAATTAAAGCCGCAAGCGGCGATGAAAGGCCTCGCCCCTCTTGCGACCGCCTCCTGGGCGCCGGTCCCACAAGCGTCACGCCGACGAATTGGCAGCCCGATCTGACCAGGATTACGTATATAAAAGCTCATTTATATGATAAAGTGCGTCCCTAGTGGTCACCTCCGGGACATGCACCCTCTACGTAGAGTAGTATTTTGCTCGTGCAGATGTAAAGATTTGATTTTGCAACTTTGGTGAAGATCGGAAAAGTTTAGGTCAGAAGCCTTCCATAGGTGGCGCTGTAGAGTCATATTAGGTGTGTGTTTTCACACCATTACTCTCAGGTCATTACCAACTGTTAGCGATGTGAGTTTCAGCTCTGTAGGTCTTAGCCTGTGGTCAGGAGAGCATCAAACATGGAGAAATTCCCCACTACCTCGCATGAAAACGATAACAAAATTCTAACTTTTATGCGATGATTGCATAACTTCAATCCGTCCAGATGGAGAAATGACATGGTAGAAGTCTGTGCGATGAAAATCCAGGGACTAGTACAAAGCCAAAAATGAGACACATTGAACTGCCTGTAGGTGGCGCTGTTGCACTCACAGTTGTGTGTTGCATATCGTAGTGTTCAGGGTCATACGCTGTATTTCTGAATTCATTTTTAGCCTC